GGCCCCATTTGAAGGGGAGGGGGAAAACAGACCTACTACTCAGTCATCCAAGCCTTGCTATCACATGCAGCTCATTATGTGTCCTCATCCTTTTACCTTCACTATAGCTGCCTTCTCCGTGTGTCTTATTTATATTCTCCTGTGGGTTCCAGTAGTTGGTTTACAGTCGAGAGGATTGATTTTCTTGCAACGGATTTGATCCCATATGGCTAAATATCTCTACCCAGAACAGCTAGCCAGCTGCTGAGAGAATCACATAAAGCATGAACTCCCCAACTCCAGTGACAATCCCCTAGGATCTTTGTAACAATTTGACTTACACACTGAACCAAGCACCATTAGAGTGCAAGGCAAACAGCTCTGCTTCTTTACCATGCAAAGGGATTGTGTGATCTCGAGGCATGTTGTCCACCTCAAGTGCTAGAGGTTCCGGGTTCAATTCCCGTAAGGGCTGGGATATTTTTATGTGGACTTGGACTTTTAGTCATTCCCCCTGGCTATTGGTAGTGAGACCGGAAGCTCGAGTGCATTGTTGCGCACGTAAAAAAACCTTGACAGTTGGAAATTGAAAAAAGTAGCCCAACAGCACTGCCCGGGGAAAATTTTGAGTTACAAATCTACCCAAAGTATTTTAGGATATTTGCGGAGCTTCTTCGGACTGAGACTTGAGTTAGAAGAAGAATAGAGCACTTATGGGTTACACCCCTGTGCCATGATGTTGATCCGTTGTTCAAAACCTCAAACTTTACCATGCAACCTGACCCCATGGAGTGACAGTTTCTTCTTCTTCATCCTATTCACCAGCTGTAGACTTTGACAGAAGTGGTTGTTCGTCCACATCTGGAATTTAGTCTTGTTCTAGATCCTGAGTGTTGTGTGCACATCCCACTTACAGATCTGACTTATTTGTATGCAGACTGCTGGTTACATGCCTCTCGAACAGATGTACTTTGAAAGAGGTCCAACTAGTCGACACTTGTGACATGCTTGTTGGGGAGGCAGTGGGTTTTCCCCAACATTGGTGCCCCGAAACCCACATGGGAAGGTTCCAGTGTTTAAAGTTTACAGCTGAGAGGGTTTATTTTATTGCAGTAGAATGTATTTCATGTGGCTAAGTGTCTCTCCACAGATATACCAGCTAGCCGACTGCTGCCACACTTACAGAAACCAGGAACCTCATAACCCAAAAGACAATCCATGGAGATCTATGTAAAAACTAGACTTGTGAACAATTTCAGTGCAAGGCAAATGACTTAACCTTTTTGCCATGCAGCGCCCCCTCCCCCCATGGGGTGAAAGTTTAATATCAGTTAACTCCAGATATCGAAAAGATTCACATCATTTTAACTGATCAGTATCAGATCTATCCCTGTCAGGTGGGGCGGAGTGAGCATGGCAGCCTTGATGTCCTGCCGCTCTCATTATTCTGACACATGTCATGACCAGTGAAAACCATCTTAACATCCTTCAGTTCTCAACAGAGCTTAGTACATCAGTCAAATTCATGGAGAACTCTTTGAATGCAAGTTACTGGTTACATTTTACAGCTAAAGTTGTCAGCACAATTTCCCATGTGGGTTCTGGGGCCCCATTTTAAAGAGAGAAAAACCACACATAGACGCACTGCACCCCTAACAAGAATATAGTAAAAGGTGAATAATTACAGGTGTTTCCTTATAAGTCGAGTGCATCTGCCCGAGCGGCAAGAAACCAACAGTGTACAAATAAGCCAGATCTGTAAAACTAATGTGGATGCAAAACTCACGTTCTGGAATAAGAATTTGCCGAACAACAAGAACAGTGGTTCTCAAACTTCCTAATGCTACAACCCTTTAATACAGTTCCTCATCTTGTGACCCCCAAGCATAAAATAATTTTCGCAGCTACTTCAAAACTTTAGTGAATATATATTTTCTGATGGTCTCAGGTGACCCCTGTGAAATTAGCGTTCGACCCCCAAAGGGGTCGCGACCAAGAGGTTGAGAAACGCAGGACTAGAAGAACTACAGATTTCTGTAGGAATTTACAGCCGGTGAAGAGGAAGTCTACAGAGTAAGGCAGCCAGTTTCGCACCAACCCTCTGCTTGTCCCTATCAGCATGGTTGGCATGTTTCCAGTGCTGCTATTATTCACTTCATGGTAACAAATGAAGATCCCTCATACTGACAATTTTAGAAGGGCACTGTCTCACTGGTGTCTACAACGATATCGCTTGTATCATGATATGAGGTCACTATTTCTTTTCCTCAGTGTTTAGCTGTCGCAGCGTAAAATAAGACTTGTTCAATGGGTTATGACATCTAATGTCCCCAATCAGCGAGTTTGGTTTTGAATTCCCTGATAGGGTCAGATAGCTGTGTGGATAGCTTAGAATAACTAAAATAACAACACATTTAATCCTGAATATGAGAGGTCAGTTTTTGACTAAACTAAGCAAAATAAGAGAAGAAGACAACGATGAGGATTCTTGAGGAAGAAAGTTACTGACAGCCGGCTGTCGTCTGTCAAAGATCTGAGAATAATAAAAAACGTACTGACAACAAGAAGTAGCCATTAGGAATGACATCCAAGATGGAACTTTTCAAATCATTATACAAAGCATTAGACAGGGATGTGTATTGTCACCCGATTTATTCAATTTGTTCAGTGAAATAATAATTAGATCCATACATGGTATGGCAGGAATATCAGTTGGTGGACATATTGTAAACAATCTGTGATACGCTGATATTGTTTTGATCGCTGAAAATAAAAAAACAGCTGCAAGAAATGATGGATATGTTTGCATTCACCGGCTGCAAACCATGACGGAAAGACCTGGTTCTTCGTCCATTTCTGGACTTTGGTTTGTTCCAGGACCTGAGTTTTGTGTGGGCATCTATTTTATAGATCTTGCTTATTTGTATCCAGACTGTTGGTTTCTTGTCTCTCAGGCAGATGCACTTTGACTTTGAAGGAAGTCCCCAATTAGTTGACTCTTACGACATTCTTGTTGGGTGTCTATTTTTGTTTGTCCTGCAATGGGACCCCAGAACCCACATGGGAAAATGATTGATATAATTGTAACGGGAAGTGAAAACAAGGCTCTTAGTCTGAACAGTATAAAAAGAGAAGTAATGGTAATTACAAAAAAAAAATAACCCTCAAAAATGCAACAAACCTCAAACTAAAAAGTACAAAGAGGTGCGCGTAAACAATATAAACCATACTGGAAATGTGACCTAGAGCAACAATGATCTGGAAGCAGAAAGAAAACAAGCTGAGACCAAAACTTGTTAAGAGCAGTTTAACAACTACCAACATGCAAAGGCCACATTTTATTGAGCACCCTAATAATACCAGGGATACAGTCAAAATAGCAACAGGAAAGTCCTGTCACAACTACGATGCAGAAGTTCAAGCCCTCAAAATAGCAGCAGAGAAACCACTAAATACCGGGTATATTTCACAACCAGTGGTATTCCTGATAGAGGCAAAAGCTGTACTTCAGGCACCTGAGTTTGGAAAATTACCAGGTATACGGATACTACTGTCTGAACTAGGCAGCCGATGTAAGGTAGTTATGCAATGGATACCATAACACTGTGGAGTTCCTATAAATGAAAGAGCTGATTGACTAGCTAAGGAAGGTGCAACTAGAGAACCTGACGTACCAGTCTCTTATCAACAGAAGAAGAGAATAATCAAATCAATCAAAAAACCACAGAAACTGGCACAAGATTACCGTATTATGGACAGACCAGAGCGAGTCATTATCCTACGCCTTAGAACAGGGCATGATTGACTTCAAAACCACATGTATTCAACATTTAAGATTGGCCAATCAGCCATGTGTACCTGTGGACTGGCACCTGAGACAGCTGATCACATCCTGCAAGACTGTCCCAAACACAACATTTCCAGACAAAACTTTTGGCCAAGAGAAATATCGGTGCAAGGCAAACTTGACAGGTTGCTGAGTAAATTACAAAAGACAGTGAAGCTCATACTAGAGACAACATTGCAGATCTAGATAATTTATTTCAAGCGAACAAAAGAAGAAGAAGAAACAGACAATCTACATTCTTCGGTTATGTGATGAGGAGAAAGCTGGAGTACATCTGACAGTAGGAAAATTGGAGGGAAAGAGAGGCAGACATGGACCGAGATAGTCATGAGCTGGATTATCTTCACAGCACTCTGGATACATCCATAGGTGCTCAGATCCACCTTCAACAAATTCATCAGCGTCGTGCGGTTAATAGTACCAGTCCTTTGCTCGTTGACAAGACTTTCATGTGCAAATGGAAAGAACAGATGCTGGACAGTCTGACATCATGACATGAAGGATCATCTGTGTCAGAGTTGACTGCAAGTACAGGAGACAGAAGGTTGTGGACAGACATGACCACCAATGCCACACGGCTTGGACTATATGAAGGAGGGTAGTCAGCTGTTGCAGATCCCAGGTTGTGTAGAGACATGAGCGCCCACGCCAGTCCAAAAGACACTGAGTGATGATGAAACAGCTTTTATTATCCAAACACTTACTAACTCCAAACGGGCACAAACTAGCAATAGTATCTAGTTGCGAGGGACTGATGCAGTATTAACTGATGACTGGGTAGGTGAGGGCGGGAACACAACATAGTTTTTAACCGGATTTTGTTTGTCTTCCCCATTGAAAGACTTGCCAGGTTATTCACCGCTGTAAAACTTGGACACGGAAGAAGCCAAAAGAAACCCGGGCACCTGTAATCATATCTCCAGGCCAGGGACCGCACTCAGTTCTGATAAGCCTTGATCTGTTTTGAGAAAAACAATCGTTGCTAATCAATCTTTAGATGGATACGCCTGTCGGCATAACGACCAACCCAAGCGCACACTAGCTGACGTGCAGAACTCAACAAATGCTAGGTAACTCGTTTCATATACATGTCTCATCTCCAGTTTAAAGACATGACAGCACAAACATGTGTTTAGTGGGTTTTTAATAAACTGTGTAGAATTTGATTACATACCTCTGGTGTAGTTCCTTCGCCTCCGAAATGGTCCTTGGCAAGTTCAGCGAAATGTCTCACGTCAATATATCCGTCTTTATCGATGTCACACAAATCGAATATTTCCTTAAACTTATCGCCAAAATCTGACAGCTCTTCCATAGCCTACCCTGGGTGGTGTGCGTTCTGTCTGGGGCGCGGCATGAATCACTGCATTCAGACAAACAGGAGTTGGTTGTGACGCCAGTCAGTTGACACACCTTTCTCTTCAGCCTGTCCTGTGTTGTCGCTTTACCTGTCCGCTTCAGCCCTGTCACCGCCTCAGGTGTGACATACAGGACAACGAAGCGACACAACATCGAGGTCTAAATATACAATTTAATTTTTTTTTTTAATTGTAAAAACTTCCTACAAATGTATATGAAAATATTTTTTGCTAATTATCTTTGTTTTATATATATTAATTTTGTAGTTGAAGGATTTTATCTTGTGAAGTAATATTTCAACTTTATAAAGTTGTCACCCATGTCACTGAAAGGTCAACGCACTACACGCGGAGTAATCTATTCTATAATAAGCTGTCATCCTGCCTGTGTTTACAAAGGGCTCCGTGCTTCCCCAGACACCGAAATTGGGGCTTTTCTGGCCTTGCACACGTCATTAGTAAACATGGTTCCTGCATAGTGGACACACCTACACGACAGGCAGGGGTGACGATGTATCCTTGATAAACTGACACCGCGTGGTACGGTGTTGATCTTTTCTCCCATCCGGTCAACAACAAGAGACTTACCTATAATCTTAAAATCTGTCAACTTAAGAGGACTGTACCAGAACCGTCTCCATCTTGGCTGTGCTGTCTATTTTAAATACCATGCTCTGTGACATTTCACCTGGTATGTCATTTAATTAAGAACAAGCTGACGCAGGTGTGAGGGAAAGAAGTGGGTGAGAATATGTGTATAATATCACAGAATATAGTGTCGTTTTCGTTTCCATGGTGAGTTTTCCGCCAGGCACTGACGTCTTGTAGCTACAATATCCAGTGGCATTCGGGCTGTTGAAGTTTCTCTCTCTCTCTCTCTCTCTCTCTCTCTCTCTCTCTCTCTCTCTCTCTCTCTCTCTCTCTCTGTGTGTGTGTGTGTGTATCTATCTATATATCTATCTCTCCCCCATCTTATCTGTTTTTTTCCCGTGCCTCTGTCTCTCTCTCTCTCTCTCTCTCTCTTTCTTTTCTCTCTGTCTGTCTGTCTCCCTACTCTCTGTCTGTCTCTCTCCTCTCTGTCTGGTTGCATCATCACATACCGCTGCCCTTCCATCACTTAATACTATCTTTTCACATATTAACTTGCCCACCTGTCTGTCTCTCTGTCTTTTCTCTGTGTCTCTCTATTTTTTTTTTCTGTCTGTCTCTCTCCTCTCTGTCTGGCTGCATCATCCCATACCGCTGTGACACGGTCTGTAACCAGGGCAGTGACACGGTCTGTAACCAGGGCTGTTACACGGTCTGTAACCAGTGCTGTGACACGGTCTGTAACCAGGGCTGTCACACGGTCTGTAACCAGGGCTGTGACACGGTCTGTAACCAGGGCAGTGACACGGTCTGTAACCAGGGCTGTCACACGGTCTGTAACCAGTGCTGTGACACGGTCTGTAACCAGGGCTGTCACACGGTCTGTAACCAGTGCTGTGACACGGTCTGTAACCAGGGCTGTCACACGGTCTGTAACCAGGGCTGTCACACGGTCTGTAACCAGGGCTGTGACACGGTCTGTAACCAGGGCTGTGACACGGTCTGTAACCAGGGCTGTCACACGGTCTGTAACCAGGGCAGTGACACGGTCTGTAACCAGGGCTGTCACACGGTCTGTAACCAGGGCTGTGACACGGTCTGTAACCAGATCAGTGACATGGTCTGTAACTAGGGCTGTCACACGGTCTGTAACCAGGGCGGTGACACGGTCTGTAACCAGGGTGGCGACACGGTCTGTAACCAGGGCTGCTGACACGGTCTGTAACCAGGGCTGTGACATGGTCTGTAACCAGGGCAGTGACACGCTCTGTAACCAGGGTGGCGACACGGTTTGTAACCAGGGCTGTAACCAGGGCAGTGACACGGTCTGTAACCAGGGCTGCGACACGGCCTGTAACCAGGGCCGTTACGTGGTCTGTAACCAGGGTGGCGACACGGTCTGTAACCAGGGCTGTGACACGGTCTGTAACCAGGGCAGTGACACGGTCTGTAACCAGGGCTGTGATATGGTCTGTAACCAGGGCAGTGACACGGTCTGTAACCAGGGTGGCGACACGGTCTGTAACCAGGGCTGTCACGCGGTCTGTAACCAGGGCAGTGACACGGTCTGTAACCAGGGTGGCGACACGGTCTGTAACCAGGGCTGTGACACGGTCTGTAACTAGGGCTGTGACACGGTCTGTAACCAGGGCTGTGACATGGTCTGTAACCAGGGCTGTCACACGGTCTGTAACCAGGGTGGCGACACGGTCTGTAACCAGGGCTGTGACACGGTCTGTAACTAGGGCTGTGACACGGTCTGTAACCAGGGCTGTGACACGGTCTGTAACCAGGGCAGTGACACGGTCTGTAACCAGGGCTGTCACACGGTCTGTAACCAGGGCTGTCACACGGTCTGTAACCAGGGTGGCGACACGGTCGGTAACCAGGGCTGTGACACGGTCTGTAACCAAGGCAGTGACACGGTCTGTAACCAGGGCTGTGACACGGTCTGTAACCAGGGCTGTGACACGGTCTGTAACCAGGGCAGTGACACGGTCTGTAACCAGGGCTGTCACACGGTCTGTAACCAGGGCTGTCACACGGTCTGTAACCAGGGTGGCGACACGGTCGGTAACCAGGGCTGTGACACGGTCTGTAACCAAGGCAGTGACACGGTCTGTAACCAGGGCTGTGACACGGTCTGTAACCAGGGCTGCTGACATTTTTTAGGAATAGTTTTCAGGTAGTTGCGTTACCTGTCCTTGACATCCTTTTGAAGGAAGTTTTTCGCCAGGAACACAGATGAGTATCATTTATTGTGTACATTAGTCCCATGTAGTCACTTCATAGTTTGAGTATATTTGTGTATGTGTACTGTATTGTTCTTTATGTCCTTTGTTTGTTTATTGTGATCGATTTTGTAAAGCTAACATAAACTGTTTGTTGTTTCTTACCAACTTTTTTTCTTACCTATAATTTTCTACTCCTTTTAAAAACGTATTCTTTGCAGGACGTTGCAGAACCAACACCAGCATTTTTATTTGGGGCTGTTGTAGTTTTTCTAGACACATTTTACGTTCAATAGTTTGCCATTGCTTTCTCAGCGGTTAGCTGTTGGTACCAATGTCGAAACCAACGCAAGACTTTCTACTTCCAAATCGCCTGTGGTTCTCCTTAAAACTACGGCCACTTATTATGGAGTACGCCGGAGTTCAGTCCCCGGCCGCATTGCAATTACGGAGTGGACAAGAGGGAACGACACAAATGAGGTAATTACTGTGTGTTGGCGATAAATGCACTGCTGTCATAATAGGGTTAGGGTTTGGGTTAGGGTTAGGAGTGGTCGTAGTTTTAAGGAGCACCAATACCCTGACGATCCCGAAAGGTTGATAACTGTTACTTGCTGAACAGACTGTAATCTATCTGGTAGTCTTAGTTTCAATTTCATAGCAACGGGTCGCCCCATCTTTGCTCAGCTCCTGTGCCAACGAAAAACACCCAGAATGTTTATCACAGTCCCTTGTGGAAAGATTGACAGACTGCTGTCTCAGCATATCTAGCATACACTCGCATTAAAGCATACGCTAGCCATCCGAAGTGCTAACACAAACAGTCCAACATTAGAAATGCATTTCATCATTGATCATAGCAGAACTTGTCGCCAACAGTTCAGCAGTTGTCCACGCGATCAATTTTAACCAGATACGGGCACCGCCAACATTGCACGTCATTTTCTAAATCTACAATTTACACCACCACGTTGGTCACAGTCGAAAATACATTCCAAATGCAATCCGCAGCTCACAGGTCACGCCATGCATTCAACTCAGAAGCTGGGCGACGAAACTATGTCCAGTCTACAAATGGAGCAAAAATACTTCGGCCACCGTCCGGCAGAAGCAAAAAATGTGCCTCTGCTTCGAACAGCGCCGCTGTCTAGCGTCCATTTTAACCGGAATCTATGTGCTAGTACTTGTCTTTCTCTCGGTTCACATGTTCAACACTTTTTATAGAAATGATTGTCTAGTTTTTAGATGGATATGTGTCAGAACTTCAGCATCACACATTTTTGATGTACTGTTCCTTTCAGCAACTTGTTTATGACAGGTCACTAAGAGTGCGACTTTGCACGAGAATACCATGAAATAGCATAGTTTTTCTTTGGCTCACTGTTAAACCAGTCATAGTGTGCACTAATCCACGAAACTAATGAAAGTAAACCTTCCAAAAAGCTTGCCAAGACAGTTTCATGTATATCGTATAGTAGAAAAGAAAAACTACACATGATTTTCTTCTTTACTGAAAAAAGTTTTTCTTAACCTCATAGATATTGGCTGCATGCAAAAAAATTGTTTGCGATCTAATAGGCAGTTTTCGAGAAAACGGCTTGTAAGTGTGTTCATGAGATGTTGAATGAACTATAGAGTACAATGCCAACACTTACAATATTGACGTAAAAGTTCTAAAAATATACCAAAAATTCTTGCGTGGTACCAAAAGTACAGTTCTGCTCGACAGGGTAAAAGCGTACCAAATGTGCACGAAAGTACCAACTTGGGCAGCCCTGTCTGTAAAATGGTTCCCACGCAGGACACACGAAGCCGTCTATTGAACAGCCATTTGTGTTCCACTGAATGGACGCGGCCAGTGATTGAAGTGGAATGCAGCAACTTGTATCACGGCGACTTGAGAAACAAGTTACACATTATGCACAAATTCCATGTGGAAATATGGTTCTTGTTTACAACGAACAAACAAGAACACAATAGACAACTAGTTCTGCCGTGAAATGGTAGACTAAGTAAATTAAATGTTGTTACCAGTGCTGGATATAGGCATAAGCTAACTAAGCTACAGCTTAGGGCTTCACAATTTGTAGGGACCTCAACATATTCCCCTTTTTGTTGTGTTCACAAATGCAATTTTC